AAGACACAAGAAGAAACAGAAATGAGTGTAAAATTAAAAGCCCTGGACCTGATATACATATATTAAGCCAAGAAACACCCAGCTTCCATCAGCAAATCAGCAAAAAGGAACAATCGTCTTCTCTGGAACTTTCTTTCTTCGTTTGAGATCATGCCTGGTGTTTTGAAGATTAAAGACTAAATGGGGGCCAGGGAAAGGATATAATAAATAATTTTGACAACAGCAACAATAATAATGGTATTTATAACAGCAGATAGTACAGAACTTATGCAGTTCTGTGTGCCAGGTATTAATGTATGTACTTTACATGCATAAGCTCATTTGAACCTCACAACCATTCTGAGAGGCAGGTGCTGTGGACATCATTCCACGTCACACGAGTTGGTATAACCTGATGAAGGCCACAGAGTTGTGAATCACAGGGGCAGTAACTGGCCCCATGCCCATACCTTCACAGCAATGCTAGACCACTCCTCAAACACAAGACCCAGCTGCCAAAGAAACCCTCACATCTAATGCTTTAGTTAATGCCCAGCAGCACTCAAGCACTAAATTGGGCAATTCAACGATTGCTTGCTAAGGGATATTTATGAAAAGAAAAAAAAATGCAATTACTTTAAGCTTCCCTATATTTTTTGTTTAACAGACACTTCAAATTATCTTTTAGACAACATTTTTTTTTTTTTGTAGAGATTTTTGCTATAGGGCATGTGTACTCGCCAGAAAGACAGAGAGAGACAGAAAGCAAGAAATCATCCCCCAGGGGAGATGGCCACGCCACAATCCCTTCTCCTCCATTCTCCTCTCGGGATCTTGGGCACGCACGCACACACGCCCGGCATGAGTTTAAGCCACCGGGTCTGGGGCTCAAACCGTGGTCAGCTACATGGGAGTTCAGCAACAAAGCCATTACGCTAACTGCTGGTCCCTTCGATATCATTTTAAATAATAAAAAGGCAACCAAAATCATCTTTACTGACATTTAAACAGTTCATCATAGTCAACATTGAATGTAGACAGGTAAATGTATGATAGAGGAGAGTAGTATTCAAACATCGTTAATACTTGATAGTTTATGGGAACCCATTGAATAGTGTAGGAATATGCTGCATTTATGTTGTTTTATAGCATTGTTTAGAAGGCTGTACTAAGACAGGGTGGAAATTGGATTCCGAGCCAGAAACCCTGTGTATCTGGTAATAAACAAATGCTATAAGGGTCTCCTTAACTGGTAAGACTCAAAGTTGGATTATATACCATGGTTTGCCCAAAGATTAGTGCCAGATTTCCTGGTCTTCATCCTTGGCCTGAAGACCTATATTTAATCTCTATAAAGGACCTCAAGTTTGCCCAGCTTTGAGAACTGCTAGGTGACAGACCGTATAGAGTAGCTCTTGCTTTATGTAACTTGAAACAAATTTTCATACTTTAAATGAATGTAGATTTCCATTAATGTCCTATCTTTGTCTTTCACCAGACTGTAATTCCTTCTCATGATTTATTCGATACAGGATCCTTGAACAGGTGTGCAGCCCCCAGTTACAATCTCGTTTCTACGGGGAAATATGATCTACTTTATGACAACAAGATTTATGACATAGTTACCAGAACATGTTGTGTCAAAAGGCAGTGTCTGTTTATGCCAAGTGTTTACTAATAAATGCCTTTCCCTCCAACAGGAAAACACACTCAAAAAAGAGGGAACTCACTTTTCTATGTCTATCCTTAGCTAGGACCCTCAGCTCTTCATGTTCTGCCTCATAGAAGAGCCTACATGTAGATTCACTTACTACCCTTACTTTTTAGTAGCAAGGCCCAATTTCTTGCTTTCCTGTCATTTTAATTGTGCATCTTAACTTTTCACAAAACTAGGCAGTCTAAGAAAAATGGAGCTACACCAAACTAATATTGACTAATTTTTTTTTCTTCTTTTCTTTTTTATATTTTTATTTATTTAAATTTATTTACCTTTATTTTTATTTTTTGCCAGGGGGCACATGCATTCATAAAGAGAGACAGAAAGAGAGAGGAAAAGTGAGACAGCACCCCCTCATGTCAGATGGCTACACTGCAACCTCCTCTCCATTTCTTCCTCCTTCAAGATTTAGGGTACACATGCACATGCACTCAGAATGGTTTTCGAGTTGCTGCATCATGGCTGAACTGTGTCAGCCATGTGGGATCCAGCCACTTTAACCACCAAGACACATGCTGGCCCCTCTTTTAAAAGAAAAATTTAATCAATTTTATTATACATATTTAAGCAATCTGAGCCCATGATGTTAGGTGATATTACATATGGTAAAATAGTTACTGAAGTGAAACTCACGTACTAATCTTTGCTCTTTCTAAGCATTAACCCAAGCAGAAGGTTCAGCTAAGTCTCCACGGGACTCACCTGAATGTGTCACTGGGGACAGCTGCTTGGCTCTTACGTACGTAGCAGACTGTCTGTCCTGCTATGTCCATTTGGCTGAAGCTGGTAATGGGGACGCCCGGATAGATGGCATATTCGACCTGGCCATATTGTGGTGGGGAGGTGATGACATAGAGCAGTTCCTCAGGCTTGTCTGTGCCGTCCACGGCCAGGAGAGTAGTGGTCGTCAAGAAACCCCTGCCGCCTTTCGACACCACGAGTGGTTTTGCAAGAAGAACAATATCACCTAGTAGCAAAAGAGATTGTGGTCAAGAACCATGTTAAAGAAGGCAATGCCCCCAGGTAAAGGTAAAAGACTAAGGCTACTTGGTGCAAAAGCGAAAACAAACATGACGCAAAAAGTTTCTGTAACTACTGTGTATGAGAATCAGGCAAGAGACATGAGCAGCTGCTTCACAGAAGAGGGAACGCATGTAGCCAAGAAAGATCTAGAAGGGTGCTCGATTTCATTAATGAGTGTGGAAATATCATAGTTGCTTTATAAAGTTAAACAGTGACTTCTTAGCCCATAAAAGCTCCCTTATTTCAATAATTTCACATTTCATAAGGGTCTTGTTTAAACACAGTATGGAAAGAATATATAAGGAGTCTTCGAAAAACTCATCGAAAATGCATGTTGTAAAAAAAAAACATTTCATAGATTTCAACATTTTCTGCACCACGATAAAATCACACTCGAATTCCATTCTTCCACAGACTTCGTGACGTCCTCTTATACAAATGAGGTCACAACAAGTTGCTCTGTCATAATGCTCTGGTTGGCAAAGACATAGAAGCCCAACTGTGCCAATGTTGAAGAGGATAGAGAGGAAGAGACTCTTATACTCTAGAGGGAGTGCACATTGGTACACAATTTGGCATGCGTTTGTAGAGTTGAATGTTCACATATGCCTTGACCCAGCAATTCCATCCCAGATGTGTGCTTTAGAGAAACGCCTGCACTTGTACCCAGGAGACAGGTACTGAAATGGTCGCTGCAGCTCTGTTTGTAATTGGAAACACTGGACACGACCCAAATGCTTTCTCAAAGGGTGAATGAATAAGTGAACTGTGGTCTATTTATACAACTGGGGTGCATAAAGTAGTAAAATAAATGAACTACATACAACACGGATGTAGTTTGCTAATACGTGTTACTTGTACAAGCAAGCAAGTCAAGAAAATTATAAGCCAAAGTAAGAAAATAATACAAACTTCAGGACGATGATTTTTCTCAAGAAAAAAAAGTCCTGGTGGCTGCTCAGGTGTCCATTAAGAAAGTATGTGAATGGAGCTGCAGGTGGCATAGCAGTTAAGGTTCTGGGCTCCTACATGGCCAACTACAGTTCTAGTCCTAGAACTGGATGGGGTTTTTTTTTTTGTTTTTTTTTTTTTGTTTTTTTTTGAGAGATTTTCACTGTAGGGCTCGTGCGCTCGCCAGACAGACAGAGAGAGACATAGAGACAGAAAGCGAGAAATCACCCCCCAGGGGGGATGGCCACGCCGTAATCCCTTCTCCTTCATTCTCCTCTCGGGATCTTGGGCACGCACGCACACGCGCCCGGCGTGAGTTTTAAGCCACCAGGTCCGGGACACAAACCGCGGTCAACTACGTGGGAGTCCAGCGACATAGCCATTACGCTAACTGCTGGTTCCCTAGAACTGGATGTTTGAAAATCACATTGGGTGCATATGCATACATGCCCTAAATCTCAGGAGGAGAATATAGAAGGGATTGTGGTATGTCCATCCTCCCTGGGGGATAATTTCTCACTTTCCTTTTCACTGTTTCTCTCTGGTTCATGTACACACACTATGGCAAAAGCCTTAAAAAAAAAAAAAAAAAAGGTGTGTGGACATGCCCATGTTCATAGAAGGCTTATTTACAAAAGTAAAGAGTTGAAAGAAACCCAAGCGCTCCTCCACAGATGAATGGATAAAAGACATAGAGAGATAGACACAGAGAAAGAGAGGAGAGAGAAAAATCACTCCCACAATGAGGCATGGCCACACTGCAATACCTTCTCCATTTTCTCATCCTGTCAGGATGTGGGTCATTCACACACACATGCCTGGTATGCCTCCTCAAGCCACTGGGGCCAGGACTTGAACCATGGTTGGCTATGTGGGATCCAGCTTCTTTAACCAGTATGCTATTGGGCTGACCCCACACATCTCTTTAGAAAATATTCACATGTCTTGAGGCAGGAGAGGCGAGAGGCAGGCCTTCAGGAGAAGATTTTTCATGGCTCCTGCGACTAAGTGAACAGTCTTCAAACATCTGAATACTCTTAGGGTCAAAGTGCTTCAATTCCGACTGAATTTGATGCACAAAGGGTGAAAATGGAATGGAAGAAGATTGCAGATCACCTCCTCCTGCATGCCTCTGAACGCTCAGATTGAACTTCAAGAATTTGGAAGAAACGCACAACCCATCAAATGACCAGAAATCACTACAAGAGCACAAGAAATATGAGAAAGCAAGAAAATACCACTCCTCCCAGGGAAAAGAATAACTCCTCTTCATCCACAGTCAGTTCCATGGATATCATGGAAATGTCTGATAAAGAATTTAGAACATTGATAATGGCAAATCTAACAGAGATGGAAGAGAAGAGAGACAATGAACTGCAGAAGAGAAGAGAGAAAGAAGCTTAAGAGTTCCAGGAGGTGAGGAAATTCTTGCAAGATCTAAAAGAAGAATTACACAATTTAAAGAAGAATCAAACGGAACTATTAGAGATAAAGGCTATAATACAGGAAGTCAAAAATCTCCCTTGAAAGTATTAAAAACAGACTAGATTATACAGAAAATAGAATCTCAAACTTAGAAGAGCAAATTGCATGCCTAGAAAAATCCGCCACAAAGACTGAAAAAATTGCCCCCCAAAAATGAGAATAATGTACAAGAAGTACTAGATACCATCGAACGTCCAAACATCTGGATAACTGGCATTCCAGAAGGCAAAGAGACTCATAGGGCATTGATAATCTATTCTATGAAATCCTGCAAGAAAACTTAACAAACCTAGAGAGGTACTCAAAGATCCAGTCCCAAGAAATACAGAAGACCCCAAATAGAATCAACCCAAGAAGATCTTCTCCAAGACACATTATAATCAGGTTGACCAAAACCACAGACAAAGACAAGATACTAAGATTGGCAAGAGGAAAATATCAAGTTACCTACAAAGGATATCCCATCTGCTAACAGCAGACCTCTCATAGGAAACAATGCGAGTGAGGAAAGAATGTGTTAAGAGAAAGAAAGTGTTAAGAGAAAAGCCATTTCAGCCAAGAATACTGTACCCAGCAAGATTATCTTTCATGTGGGGAGAAAAGACAAGAACATTCTCAGATAAACAAAACCTGAAAGAATTTACCAGCACCAGACCAGATCTCTAAGAAGTTCTCAAGGGAGTGCTATATCAGGAAAATTAAACACAGACACACAGAAATAAGAGTTCAAAAACTAAGAAAATGTCATAGGGACAAGTCTGGAGTTGAATATTATATACCAGAATTTAATTGGGAAAATCTAACCACAACAGAAGATAAAGTACATGAGACTGAATTGGTGAAGTATAATTTTATGACTTTTGACTAAAGCATTGCTGATTTTCTTGTAGACTTTGTTATCTGGTTGTAAGGATTTGAGTCCTGTCTTGAGATATGGATAGGTTCATATACCTGCCATTTGAACAGAATCCTAACCTGTTTCCTGGCTTTAAGTTTTAAGCAAAGTTCCTTAGCATTTCTTTGAGTTAAGTTAAAACTGGTTTTCTTAATAGTACCAAGTGAACTGGCTATTGAAAGTAGTTATATTATTTAAGAAATTGTGTGATCAATACAATGTGGGGGAGAAAGGAATGGAAGGCAATTGTAGACACCAGAGATGGTGTGAGAAGAGGGTGGGAAAGGACAGAGGGTCACAAAGAGGGGTAAAAAAAATACTAGAAACTAGAAATGGAAAATTTTTGATAATAACATGTATGATTAAGCCACTATGCAGTATATTCTGGATGGGAAATCACATTTTGTATGCTGCGATGATGCTTAGGGAATGAACATAAATTAAGAAAAGGTTCAGGAAAAAAATACTAAAACTGTTTTTCTTGAAATTAAAAAAAATGCATTAAAAATACCTATTCGATGACTGCAGTAAGATATATAGTCCCAGCTAGGTGCTACTTTATAGGATGTTCATTCTATTCACTGAGGCTTATGCCTAAAGTTGGACTTGTGTTCATGGAAATGTATATATCAGCGGTGCTTGCTTAGAAAATATTTAGATTAATAAGATCTTTAGTGACTCAATAAAATGTGGGGGGGGGATATAGAAAGCAAACATAGATACTAGAGATGGTGTTGCGGGAGAGTGGGAGATGGCAGAGGGTAATAGAGAATGGGAAATCAAGGATGGGAAAAAAAGCAAAACATACAGGAAGCAAGACATGGAAAAATATTTGTTGATGATAGCATGTTTGTTGATGTGCTTGATTGAGCCAATATACAGTGTACTATGGATGGAAAAATCTCATTTTGTATGCTATAATGATGTACAGTGAATGAATGTAAATAAATAAATTTAAATTTAAAAAAATGCATGTCTACACAAACTGCATGCATGCTTTGAAAAATCATACTGTACTCCTACAAAGATGTACAACAGTTAACTATAAATAAGAAATTATAACACAAACGGGACCAGCAGTTGGTGTAATGTCTATGTCACTGGACTCCCACGTAGTCAACTGCAGTTTGAGTCCCAGACCCAGTGGCTTAAACTTACACCCGGCGTGTGTGCGTGCGTGCCCAAGATCCCAAGAGGAGAATAGAGAAGAAGGGATTGCAGCATGGCCATCCACCCTGGGGGGTGTGCTTTTTCACTTTCTGTCTCTCTGGGTCTCTCTGTCTTTCTGGCAAGTGTACACACCCTATAGCAAAATTCTCTAAAAAAAAAAGAAAAGAAAATATATCATAAACAATTTAAAAAAAAAAAAGAAAGAGAAAGTAATTATATGTTAATTGTGACAGAATCTGTAAGGCTCTGCCCAATCTTATTTCCTTTCTAAGTACACAGCTTGTTTCTCTTACCCAACTTCCCTTAAAGTTATAAAAGAACTATGACTTAGCCTCTGGAATATTTATAAGAGAAATATGCTACCTTCAAACTTAGTCCATGAAATCTAATTTTCCTCCATATCTCATTTTCTGAGAGACTCTAAAGTCTCAGAAATAAGGACGTATCTACACAAAACGTGTCCATATCGACATAGAAAGTGTGCAGTGACTGTGTGGAAGAGCTTGCGGAGAAACTGTATCATGCTAAGCCAATGAGAAGATGACCTACTCAATTATGTTGGCTGTGCCCCCATGTTGTACTTATATTTCATTTGCCTAAATATATACACATATAATATACACCATCTTTTTGCAGAAAAAAATAAAAATGTACAGTAAGATCTGGCTTATCTGAGAGTCAATTATTAGACATCTTTAGAAACACATTTTACTACCAGAAAAATAAATAAATAAAATATATTTTTTTTCTTTTTCTTTTTTGGAGAGGTTTTTTCTTATTGGGCATGTGTGCTGGCCAGAAAGACAGAGAGATAGAAAGTGAGAAATCACCCCCTAGAGAGGATGGCCACGGCTGCAATCCCTTCTCCATTCTCCTCTCGGGATCTTGGGCATGCATGCACACACGTCCAGCGTGAGTTTAAGCCACCGGGTCCGGGACTCAAACCGTGGTCAACTACATGGGAGTCCAGTAACATAGCCATTACGCTAACTGCTGGTCCCACAAATAAAATATTTTATAGCTTCAATAAACATCTCAAGATCAATTGAGCCAACTTAAATGTATTTAAATTTTAGAACAGTTGTAATTCTACTATGTTCATGAGGGACAATTTTTTTTTTTTGAGGTTTTTGCTATTGGGCATGTGCGCACTCCAGAAAGACAGAGAAAAACAGAGAGACAGAAAGCAAGAAATCACTCCCCCAGGGGGGATGGCCACACTGCAATCCCTTCTCTTCCATTCTTCTCTTGGGATCTTGGGCATGCACACACACGAACCCAGCGTGAATTTAAGCCAGCGGGTCCAGGACTTGAACCACAGTCAACTACCTGGGAGTCCAGCGCCATAGCCATTATGCCAACTGCTGGTCCTGACAAGGGACAATTTTTATTGCACAGAAGCATCCAATTTAGCTTTGAGCTCCTAGCAGCCAGAAGACTAGTTAAGCATTTACTGAGAATCTAAAACTATGCTTATAGTTCTTGGCATTTCTAGATCCTGGAAACCCTCCTCACATAAGTTGTAAGTAAAATTATGCAGTAGTGACAATTGGGCATCAAGGCTTACAATCATCCTTGCTGAGCTTCTTTCATTCTCTCCTTCATCTACCATTTACAGATTGCTCTACTGAGTTGCATTATACAAATAAGTCTGCCAATTTTTTGTTTGCTTGTTTAGAGATGTTTTGCTATACAGCGTGAGTGCTCACTAGAGAGACAGAAAGAAAGCGAGAAATCACCCCCTGGGGGATGGCCACACTGCAATCTCTTCTCCGTTCTTCTCTTGAGATTTTGAGCACGCACGCAAATGCATACAGCAAGAGTTTTAAGCTGCTGGGTCTAGGACGCTAACCACGGTTGAATACATGGGAGTCCAGCGATGTAATCATCATGCCATCTGCTGGTCCTGAGTCTGCTCATTTTTATCTCATAAGGTTTTATCTCCCTGGTTCCTAAAAAGTAGTATTAGTGGGCTGGACTCGTAGTCCAATGGTAAAGTGAGCTGGATCCCACATAGTTGATCATAGTTTGAATCTCAGTCCCAGTGATCTGAAAAACATGCTGGGTATGCATGCATGCTCCTAATCCTGACAGGATGAAGTAACGGAGGACAATAGATTGTAGTGTGACTGTGCTCCATCGGGGGATACATTCTCTCTCTTTCTCTGTCTTTCTGTCTCTCTCTCACAAGCGCACATCCCCTCTAGCAGTTAAAGAAAACCAAAAGGAGTATACATTAGCACTTGCAAAGAGAAAGGGGCAAAAATCTCCAACCTGTTCGAAGACAAAGTTCATTTTGTTCTAGTTTTTATTTTTAAATGCATTTCTTTTTTTTTTGTCATTATATTGCAAATATGTGCCCTTTGAAACTCTTTTCAAATGATAGTTCACTTCCTGAAGATAAAATTAGAGTTTCCACATGAATTTGGTAAAACGTTACTTAGAAACATTACAGTTACAGTAGACCCAGCAGCCATGTTGTGGAGACAACCGGAAAACAATGAATGGGTCGGGTAATCTTATGAACCTCATAGAGTCAGGCAAAGCAGATGAGAAGCCAAAGGTTCCAAATATTAATGATGGAATTTCAGGGATGAAGGATGGAAGGAAGACAGAAGAGGAGGGGAGGGAGAAGCAAACATTGAGTACTATATACGTTCATTTCCGGTTAGAGGTGTTGATATCAATAAACCTTGGTAGACATGTTTTCACCTTTTCTCATGTCCTTGATGACGATGTGACAGTCAAAAGCAGGTGATCTGTTGCTGCCATCCCAGAGGTAGAAGGTGAAGCTATCTCGATTCTGGGAATCCATTGCCCCAGTGTGTGTGTATCTCAGCAAGTTCAGATCCACATCCTCCTGAGTGCATTTCATGCCAAGGTGGAGAGGGAGCCAGTCCCTCCCTATCTGAAAGGTGCCAGAATTAGTCAGCTGTCTATGGCTTTTTCTTCCCCAGTTGTGGTAGTGGACATTTTTCATACACTTTAAAAATTATTTTTCAAAGAAATTCCAGGCTACTTTTTGACATTTTACCTTTTTTAAAAAAAAAAAAGAAATATATTAAATAATTTAAGACCTTGGGGAAAAGCTAGCTTCAACCAAAGGATTCGTGACAGAGTTGTGCATCAGTTCAACAGCATTGCCATTTCCAAGTAGCTATCATAAGCATCAGAGCTGATTAAATATTCCAATTAATGAGAGCAGGTGGGTAATTGAGCTAGTGGAATAGTCTTTAGAAATGTGTTCAATGTCATTTAATATGTTTTGAAGTTCCTTTTTTTTTCCTTAGTTCCTATCATTGCACAACTCATCAAACCTGTTTTAAGTGGTTCATTATTGGCTGATCCTAGGTAGATAAAACAAAAACAGAATAGACTCCCTAACTCTCCAGTACATCTTCTAGCCTTATTAAAGCACAAAGAAACTAAAGATCTCTATTACTTCCTACATTTATATCCTATATTGGCAAAAATATAAATTGCAAATATTATATATTATTTTTATCAGAACCTTCTAAAATAAGCCAATATTAGTTAACCATACATTCAGTACAGAACTTAGTGCAGAAGTTTGGGCATTTTTTTAATTTTGTCATGGGGGGATGGCTAAAAACTGAGACTATCAGAAAATATAACAATAAATCTGTATCTTATTAATAATTTGTTATTCTCTTAAGATACATAGCTTTTTGTAAGAATAGCTCATAAAAAGTCACCTGATGTAATTCAAATAAAGTGTCTTCATAACAATTTTACTATTTGGGGCTGGCAGGTGGCATAGTGGCTAAAGATGCTGGACTCCCACATGGCTGACCACAGTTCAAGTCTTGGAACTGGCAGCTTGCTTTCTCTCTCTCTCTCTCTCTCTCTCTCTCTCTCCCTCCCCCCCTCTGCCTTTCTCTGGTCAAAATAAAACAATAATAATAATAACAAATAAAGTTTAATAAAATAATTCTTTAAAAAATTTACTATTTGATATTATCTTATACTTTTCCTGTCTGGTTTTAAAGACTAAAACATTTACATTATTCACTTTTTATTTCCCTTCATACCTTATTCCACAGATTCTTAGTTCCTGGTATAAGAGCTCTGTTCTCTGACCCCATTGTCTCACCCCCCCCTTTTTTTTATGTTTTTCTACTTGATAAAGTGTCTTCCTCTTTAATATGTCTGCTTATTTGATGTCTGTAGACAAATGTTCCACCCCAGTGCTCACTGCGTAAGCGTTAATTATACTGTAATAATTCAGCTCAGTGTTTGTTTCCATCACAAGACTTATTTGCAAATATAATTTGAAAAACAGATTCTCTTTCAGGTTTTAAACTAGATAGTTTGAAATTCTACCTCTCACTTTCACTTTTTAATCTCATGTAAGAAAACAAATGTAAAAGATATCTTTTACTATCTCTCCTCTTCATCTAATTCTTCACTTATGCCTCCAACACAACTTTGGCTGGATGGAATCACTTGAAGGCCCAGAAAGATGACGAAAATAAGAGTTAGACTTGAAGTGGGGAGAACTAAGGAAAGTCAACATGAAAACAATTCTTGGGGGAGGACAAGAGACCTGGAGTCCTGGTCTCCTGTCTGAGAAAAGCTTGGGGACAACCTATCCCCAACCCAGGGAGAAAACTCTGTGGGCCTACTGAGAACCTGGGCTCATCTGCATTTACACATCTCTAAAACAATTCTGTTTCCAAATGTGTGAGCTTTCACAGCATTTCCGCGTCATTACTCTCTGAAATGAAATAAGGACACAGCTGTACCTCCATTTAAATCAGCCATTGCTCCTTACTCTGATTCTCCACGGTGTCTACCATCGATGACAATTAAGCTGTTCCACACAAAACGAATCCTCACTGCCTTTCTAGCATTGTGTCTGCGTTAGATTAAAAGTTAAGCATTCAGTCAAATAATCACACTGTGGATGGTTGGGGGTAGTAGGCGCTGGTCTTAATCCACCGTTCCAATAAATATTTCGACTGATAACTCAACTGACATTCTCAAGGGCCTGATCTCCAGTTTGTGTGGGGCTAATCCTCGGCAGCATACACAGTCTGAATCAGACTGGAGTTCTGCTACTCTCGGGAGGCAAGGGAACAAGGAGGTAGTATCAGATGGCAAAGCAAGCAACCCGAAGAGTTAGCGGTAGAACCCAGGTGACCTTGCCCGACATCCCCTAATGTTTCCATGCTTATTTCCTTTCCACTAAAGCAAGTGCTTCCTTCCTTCCTTCCTTTCTTTCTCTTTCTTTCTTTCTTTCTTTCTTTCTTTCTTTCTTTCTTTCTTTTCTTTCTTTCTTTCTTGTTGGAGAGGTTTTTGCTATAGGGCCTGTGCACTCTCCAGAAAGACAGAGAGAGACAGAGAGACAGAAAGTGAGAAATCACCCCCCAGGGGGGATGGCCATGCCGCAATCCCTTCTCCTCCATTCTCCTCTCGGGATCTTGGGCACACACGCACATGCGCCCGGCGTGAGTTTAAGCCACCGGGTCTGGGACTCAAACCGCAGTTGACTACATGGGAGTCCAGCGACATAGCCATTATGCCAACTGCTGGTCCCATACTTTCAAGAATACATACAAACCCACGCATGTTCATGTAGTTTACTAGATTCAAAACTGGCACTTGTTAAAATCTGACAGATGTCAGTGGGGTGAGATGACCCCCACGTAAGTTTCCCTCCACACCTACTGTTTAAATTCAAGATTTTGCCTCTTCAAACCTTAACATGGGGGTCTGATGCCACAAGGGGAACTGGCCTGCAAAATAAAGGCATTAGTCTTTCAGCTTCCAAGTTCATCTCAGATCAAGGTAGTTGATGGCAGGGTGAGCTGTCTCCCTGGAGAGAAGATAAGGATGATGCCTGCCCCTGAAGGAAGAGAAGTTTTGGGAAGAAAAGAAAGCTGCTCACTGCAGACTGCAGACTTATTGAGAAGACAGGAGGTAAAAATAGCCAGGTGATGCTTGGAGTCTAAAAGACAGAGAGGCCTAAGCCTCAGGCTGCTGCCCTCAGGTGTCTGCCTCACAGTGTCAGGTGGTTTGTTGCGAAGATTTGGGGCAGAATGGGCCTGAAGAAAGGTCATCAGAATCTCTGAAGGTTTAACTGAAAAAAGAAATAATACGTTTTTATGTTCCTTAGAATGTTCTAGAACTTAGCAGAAAGAGAAAGATTGATATTAGACCTAAAAGAGTTTTATTGAGACGATAGAGGCTAAAGAGAAAAGCTACAGGTATTACAAGACAAAATCT